TACTTCTCGATGTGTTCCTCATACTCGAGGATATTCTCAGCAATTCCTTTGTTGTGAGCGAATTTGTAGTTGAGAATGTTGTGAAACAACTCCAACGATCTTGCACGATTCGTTGGTTGATATTCCTTGAGTAGCATACGGTAAGCTTCCATACCGTTCTCCTCAGCTACATGCTTTACAACTCGGTACGGCCTTCCTTTAGTGTATGAACAAAGAACACTGTACAGGCGTCTGCTTGTTTCCTTTGCTTCTACAGACATCTCAGCCATCTTCACTTGCTTATCATCTTTTAAGTTCCTTTCGGCGATGTCCATGATCTTTACCATATTGGAATCCACTGCTCCAAGCCAGATCCGCATCCTGTTCCTGAACTCTGTCCATCCACTCTTCTCTTCTTGCCATGTTCCTGGGGAAAATGCTTCGGGGCTTTTAATCAGCTTGTGCAACTCCACTTCTCCAGGCTTTCTTTGTTCCTTTACTGCTTTCTCCAGAGATGCTCCTATCTCCTCAAGTGTCGTTGCTGCGTTCGTGTGGGCGTCTGCCAACGCTGTTTGCGCTGTCTTCTGCTGTTCCTGAACTGCTGTCAGGGTTTCCTGGAATGCTTGTGTAAGTCCTGCTTCTCTTTGACTTCCTGAAGCTGCTGAGTTCCTGATCTCCTCTGCTAGTGTTTGTATTCCTTGTAAGGTCTGTGCATTGATCTCGGCAAGTGCCTTCAATGCATCCTCCATTCCTTTTGCTGTTTCAAGGTTGCTGTACACTAGTGCTGCTAAAAGTAGCGACTTGCACTGCTTCCTGCTCACTGCTTGTGCTCTCCTTTCTCCTCTTGTCTTCCTTTGGTGCTTTGAGCGGTTGCTGCTCTTGCGAAAAACACACTAGAATAGTACGACAGGGTGATCCAAGTAATCAGTCCCATTGGGGTTCCTAAGAACACTGCTATGCGAATTCCTTGAAATACAACTCTGTTGGAAATGACTTCCTGAACTATCACATGCACGACGTCGTGAAACTTCTTTCCTACTTTGCTAGCTTTTCTACGAAACTCTGAACATGTTCCTGTACAAATTTTCTCAGTACTTCTCGCTGTTGTTTTACTAGGTACCTAGGGGCGTAGCCTGACTCAAGGCTCTCACTCTCCTGGTTCTCGGTGTTCTGGTCGCCGTTCCTGTTCTCTTCCGTGTAGTACTCGCCGGTCACGCTAACGACGCTGTAGAGCTCGTTCATCACTTGGTTCACGCACAACAAAGCGTACGGTACCATGACTTTTCCTATCTCCACATAGTCCTTAATCGTGTACGCGTTTGTGTTCCTGATCGTGTTCACGTTGGTGCCGTCGGGGTTCACGCTGCACTCGTTGTAGCCTTGCTGGTAGTACTCGCCGTACACGTATAGTTCCTGTAGCGGTTCCGGTGCGTATTGGGGTGCGTATTGGGCTTCCTTCTGCTCGACCACACTGCCATGAGCTCGCTCTCGTCACTCTCAACGTACGGTAGTTCCTTTCTCCCACGGCTCGCTTCCTTGGAGGATAAGGCGTCTCCAAGGGCAAGTTCTTCCTTGGTCTCCACTTTGTTGCCAAGGGCCTGCCACGGTCTCACCGCCATACTTCCTGCTCCTGGGACCAAGATCATCCCGCACAAAGTTGCGAGGCTTCCCAGTGCGAAACCAACCAGCAGCACCATACATGCTGCCAAACCGTAGCACTTCATGTTCCTTTTCTCTCTCTCTTCCACCAACACTCGGTCGGGGTAGCAATCGGCGCAAGCGTCAAAGTCTCGCGCGTTTCCTGCTGTCACGTTGTGGTTGCGAAGGTGTCCACAACCTCTGCGGTGGTACTTTGTTCCTGAACGGACTGCGATCCTGAGCGTGGGCATGTTGAGCACTGTCTCTGTCTTCTTGGTGATCTGCTCATTTGCGCGCATCTGCTTCCATCCGGCAACGAGGCAAACTGCCATGGCGCCGAGCATCATGGTTCCTATGGCTACGAGTAGCATCATCGCTGCCAAGGAGGTTCCTGGAGGCAGCTCCGCTACCATGTTAAAGAACGGGCTTCACTAAGGGTTCCTACCCACAAAGACTGTCGGACACTTTTGTTCCTGGGCACGGTGTGTCCTGGGGTCTCGAGCCTGCACGTCGCGTGTGCGTGACGGCTGTTCCTGTACATTAACTGTACTGCACTAGCTGTGTTACTGTTCCTGGCAGAATGTTTAACAGTCTTCCAGAGACTGCTGCAGGTCAGAGCGTTGTACCGTCAGGAAAGCAAAGGGTCCGGACTCCCAAGGTAGCTGCAGACGCTGTCCTCGGCTCCTGACAGGACCAAAACCCAGGCCATGAGCCCAAAAAGGGTCAGTATCACTTCTCATAGGGTAGGGCGGGTGGGACAACAGAAAACAGCACTTAAGCCAAAATGGCCGCGCGGTACATTAAAGTCACATGTCAAGACATAGTAAACTTAATGCACGCGCTCTACTGATCCAAACATCAGCATGCAGATGCAGATGCACACACGGACATCTTTTTCAACGTGGGGTAGCACAAGCTTGTCCAGTCTCGCAGCAGACCAGCGACCGCAAGGCTGTCACAGTTGCAGCACAGCCACAGAGTGCAGCAAACAGCCTACGATCGGTCTGACAGTACGGCCAGCGGCCCAGCAGCCCCAGAACATTTAGATGCCGCTGGCCAAGGAGACCAAGTCCCCCACGTCAACTTTAACCTCCTTGGCTTTTGACAGAAAAGCAGGGCGCAAGCCGCGACTGGGCCCATCGGCAGGGTTGCTGTGCGAGGGCACTCGACAGACCCAAAGCTGAATGCCAAGAGAGGCTTCCATGCGCAACATGCGCTCCAGAATGCACATGGCACTGTCAGGCCTGACAAACCCATTTATGACACCAAAGCGAACAACCTCATTGTCCACCCAAGCGCAGGTGTTGGAGTCGCACAGAACCTGACTCCAACACATGACTGAGGCAGCGACCGCCAGAAGCTCAGCTTGGATGATAGGGTGCTCGCAGCCATCAGTCAGCCAGCCTGAGGTCACAGCCTGAGGAACCTCGCACCCAAACCACTGCAAAGGCTGGCACCAACCATCACAGAGAACACCACCAATGGAAGCAACGCTACCCTCAAAGGCACCATCAGTGAACAGGTGCAGCTTCCTGCGGCTAGCCAGCGACCAGACCTTGCCCCGACCTTTCGGGATGTGCTCAAGGATCCATCTGATCGCCCAACGCAGTTCCAAAGACAGTGGCCTGGCGGTGTGCGGCCTGCCAGCACGGCCAGCAGCCAGAAGAACTCTCAGCGCAGAGCCGGCTGTGCGTCCAAAGACCTGACCTGACAACCACCTAACCCGGCTGGCGAACTGCCAGCACGACCCGTTCGTTGCTATATATACCGACGGTTGGCGGTATAGAGACGACAGTCCGTATGATGACGTTTCGTCTTCGTCAGACAATGACGATTTGAACCCAAATGAATGTGTCGATCTCTCTTTCTCTCTCATTCTTTCTTTCATCTAATATAAATGTTGTGCGGGTTGGGTTGTTTGGCTACAACAAACTGCGATTGACGATCTCGGCCTTTTTCACGGCCCCCGGAATCGGAGCGAAAATTGCAATGCCCATTTAAAAAGGACATGCCGTGAGACAAAATTGGGGTGACTCGCGATCGCAAGCTGTTTCACACGACGAACGGCGTCTTCGCCCATGTAATTAGCTGAAAAGCGTGGGTTCTGTCGCAGAACCATTACAAAATCGAGAACGGCATGTTCGAGCATGTGCTGTTTCGGCCTGCATTTCCATCGAGGCAGCTGAAGCATGACAGCACGGCTTGCAAGCCGGTCGAACGAGCTTCTGTACAAGTAATATGCCGCTTCGAAGTTCTGGCACACATCTTCTCGGAAGAATCGGCCGTTCTCCATCTGAAGCTGCTCCATGTACATTAGCCCAGTCACCACACCAAGAATGAGCCTCGGAAGGTTTTAGGTCTCGATTTGTGAACTGCTGCCGGCTTTTATAACCTTATAGGCGACTTTGCACTTGCTCGTGCTCGGATTCTTAACATTGAAAACAAACACATGCCACCCAAATGATTCGCCCTGGCCGGGGCACTTGAGATGCTCAGGCTGCTCGTCGCCTTGCAGTAGGCTGTTCATGAACCAGTGCATCCAGAAAACCATGAACTTTGCAGCTGCTGCCCTCATAAATTTCTGGGATACCGTGACGTAGTCATGTCGCAGGGTCTCGTTGGTAAACAACTTTCGTTCGCACCTGTCACCAATATTCCAGTATTGGCAGTATTCTTTGTAGCTTTGCCATGCAATCTCCAACCGAGCATCTCTAGACGATCCCGGCCATGGCCATTGTGTGTCGCTCAAGTCCAGAAGCATGCTGGTCAAAGCATCGCCCAGACAGGCCAAGTGCACTATGTGCATGTAATCCGGGAGGATGCCTCATAGTTTGGATGTTTACTGCTATGTATATACATGTATTGGCATCAATACTTCTATTTGGGGTTTAGGCTCGGTAAAAGAAAGCTTTCGGACAGCTTTACCCATATATTGAAAGGCTAGGATCGCCAAGGGCAGTAGCCACCAGCTAGTCCAGCGAAGGGACTCCAGCCATGCACAGCGATGAACTCATCATTGCCAGAGCAAAGCCCCGACAGTACCAGACTTGAAGTGTTAAGTGCAATACACTACAACACTATAGTCGATTATAGCTTCCACGGAATGCCGAGCATCCTTTGCCGATGGAGAGCCCTTCGGCCGAAATTGGTGAACAGAAGCTCTGGATTGTTCGGCTCCGGGTCGCCAGGTTGCGGATATTTGAGGATCCACTGCAGGGCCTGTACGGGTATGATTCGTTCAAAGAGCTGACAACAAGCAACTGCTGGCTCTCATTTGCGAGTCGTGCCTCACAGTAGTGGCAGACCATCTTGCGTGTATAATTTCCTCGTGATCATTTGCGAATTGACAGCTAGCACAGCCGAAACCCTCAGATAGCAGCCAATTATGTTGCAGGGAAGAATCTCTGCAGCCGAAAACACTTGCTGATGAACTCTTGGTCCATCTGAAAAGCATCCAGAACCACCGTGTACTTTCCGCAGATTCGACGACCAGCTTGTTCACGACGAGAGCCCTTCAAGCATTCGCCATTCATATCCACCGACGGATAGACACCCTGACCTAGGATCGCTGTAACCCTGGCTACGAAAACCATATTGGCAAATCAATATTTTTAATTCCAATCCACCAAGGAAGAAACCCCCAAACTTAATTGCTTCTTCATATATGAAGAACCTTATAAGGACCCGGGACTGAGAACTTCGAGCGACCAGGCGATGGCTTTCATTATCAGCTCCCTGGCTTCACTGGTGCCTTGCCCGGACATACAGCTAAGCCTCAGATTGATCTTTCGACAGCAGAACTACGGCATGTCATCAGACTTAGTCAAAGAAGCATCGTAAAATGCATCGAGGGAGCAAGAATCGAGTATCCATACAGGATGTTTCTTCTCCCAGCACCGATTGCAAAAGGAAGATCTCGAAGTTTTGAGTACCTGCAGCAATAATGTCTCAAGTACCTCATACATGATAGTCTATATAGCTATATGCAACCAGGTTCGGTAGCTTTCAGCTCCATCGCCATATAGTCGCACAGGCACAAAGAAATCACCAGCTTCAGCGAGAGCCTGGGCGTGGACAAAATGCAGCCCGGAAGCAACACAGGAACAAACCTGAATAAAGCCAAAGCTAAGTAGCCGGGTGATTGAACCACCAGTGTGAAGCAAATTCTCTCGATTTCTGGCAGTATTCTCGAATCTCCTGCACCGAGGATAAGAGCCAAAGACTTTTTACACATAAACAACATTTCGCGATTTTGGCGTAAGGAGGCTTCAGCGTGCAAGCAAGTTGCTTCTGGCTTCCCAAAGAGCTTGTGAAAGAAGTCCCGGTCGAAATTGTAGATGCAGCCCATCACTTCGTGAGGGAGGAACATGCTGTGTTCGTACCAGCCCCGATCTTCGTTGCCGGCTGCATCCAGGTTCACCTCGCTTCGATCATCTCTAAAGTCTATAGTGCGTGACTTCAGAAGCCAATGACAAACAGGTCCCCAAGAGGCGGGCATAGGGAACCCAGATCTTGTGCGGCTCCGGAAGAACCTTTCCTCGACCAAGCCAGAATGAACTTTAAGGGTTTTGGATTGCTATAGTTTCGATCTATATTGTCTAAGGATTCTGCGAATTCCAAACAAGTCTCGCCATGGTTGCTTCAGAGACCTCTAGGATGTTGACATGTCCCCAGTGGTTTTTCTTCGCGTCCAATCTCCTCGCCAGATCCAGCATATCAGGCCTTAGTGTTTATATGGGGTTTAGGGCTTTGGGGTTTGGGCTATTTAGGGAAGTTCGGCCCAAGATGCGGCACCAGCATTTCTGGTAGTTGAAGCAGGCGACCTTATTGCGGGGTTTGTCGAGGCAGGCAACATATCTTTTGAAGCAACCCGGCGACACTTGCAGGTCAGGGGCTGGTCGTTGTGAGGAGGTTCTTTGTCGCGACCTGCATATTGGAACATGGCATTATGTACAAGTTGGTGCACACACTGCAGACACTAAGACTATTGCATCTAGGGCACATCTCCGGTAGATACGAACTGCCGAATATCTTCCATTGTCTTCCGAATATAGTCGATCATCCATTGCCCCGAGGATCCAGAACATCCAGACGATGCTGCAGACTCCATTGGCCCACAAAAAACATCTGAAATCCAGTGTCTGGGCAGGTAGATGTTGTTCAGGATTTGCGATTTAGAGTTCAGGGTTTTAGGGGTTAGGGCACGGTTTGAAGTTTAGGGGTTTAGGGTTTAGGGAGGGTTTGTAGGTTTTTCGATGAGGAGTTTGGGCTTTGCTGTGTTTCGGTTTTGCATATGTGTAGGGCAGTGTAGGGTGTGGGATTTAGGGTAATTGGGTTCGAAAACTTGAACTCAAGGTTGGGGTCTCACATTTGCAACAGATTAATGAAGCTTCCGGGTTGCATAAAGATTGCTTCCTTAAAGTATAGCAAATAAGCTTGGATACTAAGATTGAGATAGGTTTGGCGCTTCGGGTTAAGGTTCGGGTTGCGACCATATAAGGATGCTTCCTCCCGAGTTAATGCAGCCTGAGGGCTGAGGTCTGTGCTCACACATCATTCATCAAGCAAGGGATCTCATGCACATGTGGCGAGGCGAGGTTTGGATGGACGCAGATCAAAACTCTCGACATGCTAGGAACATCATTTTTCGCCCCGGGTCGCTCGCTCACACATATGTGAAAGCTACCGGCGATCCTTAACGACTGCATCTGTAGCAGGCTGCAGGAAGCCCCCTGAAAGGATAGATTGCCCGGGATTTACATGCTTGCTTTGAGCCCAGGTCTAGGTCGATATAATGATCCGTGCAGACCCACTGCTGCAGTACGGTGGATCGCAACCCCAGCCGAGGCACTTGTGCTCGCTGCACTTTATGCCAGGAAAAGCAGGCGGATCAGGCCCGGGCCTTTTTTTCAGGGGGCTCATCATTCTCTTCAGCACCATCATCGGCCCAATCATCTTCACCATGCTCTTCATCATCCTCATTCTCATCTGGCCAATCTTCTTGTTGCTCTGCATCGTCTACCTGAGTATCCAGATCTGCCGTAGCCTGCTTCTTCACCTCTTCCTTTTCCCGTTTTCGCTTCTCGGAAGCTTTGCCTGATCATGCAAGCAGATTTGGCGAATAGTGGCTTGGGAACCAGAGTGTAGCATGTGCAAATACAATACTATCGTTAAGCTGGGGCACGTAGCTCAAAGGTCTGGAACACACCCTCGGCATGTGCCACGTCCTTCGCATATTCCTGGCGGGAAGCAGCAAGCCCTGGATCCCAATCCTATGTATAGGACTACATTTCAAAAGCAAGCCCTGTAGCTGATGAGCTTTGCTGTCCAGGTACTCTCTGGCTTTGGAAAGTGGCTCGGATGAGAAGAGGAGTGTGTTGCACCTGAGAAAGCAAACTAAGCATCGAGACCCAGAACCTCAAGCCCCAAAAGTGCACGAAAGAGAAGTTCGGATGCAGCAAACATGTCGTGGCAAGAAGCTCCGCCAGAATGCCGTAGCACTGGGTATTCACATCACCCATATGCTGGACGTCAGCCTGAGGATTTGTCTGCAAACAAACGAAAGGATGTGCCCACCGAAACCCTAAACCCTGAACCTTAAAATCCTGATCCCTAAACTTATAACCCGTCAGCAGCCTAGACTGCATGGACGACAAATTAAGACACTGCTGGCCGGGCCTCCTGTCGCTTCAGCCCGGTAGACTTCAGGTTCGTGGCAGCAGTCAAGGCCTTGTCGCCCAATTGTCGCAGCCTCATGGCAAGCACAGGAGACGATTCGGAGTTGAAGCCCGGGGTTCAACGGGATCTAGCATCTATAGCAACCGCACTGCGAGCGAGAATCTGTTGCAAGTCTCGCTGGAAGTCCTTCTTCTCCTTTTCTTCAAGCGTGAGTTCCTGCAGCTGTTGATTAAATACATGGGAAGAAAAAGCATTGGGGTAGAGACAAGAGAGAGAGAGAGAGAGAGAGAGAGAGAGAGAGAGAGAGAGAGAGAGAGAGAGAGAGAGAGAGAGAGAGAGAGAGAGAGAGAGAGAGAGAGAGAGAGAGAGAGAGAGAGCGAGAGGAGAGAGAGAGAGAGAGAGAGAGAGAGAGAGAGAGAGAGAGAGAGAGAGAGAGAGAGAGAGAGAGAGTGAGAGTGAGGAGTGAGACGTGAGAGTGAGAGTGTGAGTGGCTGAGTTGAGTGGAGTGGGGTGGAGTGGTGAGTGTGGTGTGGTGTGAAGTGTGAGTGTGAGTGTGAGGGTAGTGTGAGTGGGGTGTGATGGAGTGTGCGTGTGGGGTGGTGTGAGTGTTGAGTTGAGTGTGAGGTGAGGTGAGTGGGAGGTTGAGGTGAGGTGTGAGTGTGAGTGTGAGTGTGAGTGTGAGTGTGAGTGTGAGTGTGAGTGTGAGTGTGAGTGAGTGAGAAGAGAGCAAGAAGTCCTTCTTCCCCTTTCCATTTCCTCCTTTGCCTTTATTACCACCTCCCTTACCACCAGACTTCCCTGCTTCTCCGACACTGTTCCAACTGCCGGCGAACGAGTCAGCCTTGTTCTGAATGGTCTCGGCAAAGGCAGCTCTGGCAGCCTTGTTGGCCGGCAACTTGGCTCTTCCGGAGGTTTTCGTGCCAACCTCCTTCGTCTTTGCACCTTAAAGGCTTCAAGGATGGGGCGTGGGGGTTGAGGCTGGTTTCGGGGTTCAGGGGTTAGGTGCCGGGTTGCAGGGCGTAGGATTATATAGGTGGTATACGGTGCAGTCAGATTGAAAGGTTTGAATTTTGCAGTGGCAACTTAGAGCCAAAGGGCTGGAATCCGTGATGTCACGGAACACGGTATAAATCCTCATCTCGGGATTCTTCGGATCCTCGAACAGGGAACGTGTGCATTGCACATGTTATATATGTATGCTGGATGACACGATGCGAACCGTAGTCCTGTGGGTGAGCAGTGCCACGTTGTCCTCAGCACCCAAAAAGACTCACAACTAGAAGCAAGCCAAGGCATCAAGACAGCGATCATCATGGTGCACATGCAGAGGCCCCGACTGGCGACCACTTGCTCTTCCAAGAACTTCTGCTGGGCTTCTGTTGTGTACAGCTTACGAAGCTCGCTTAGCGGCAATGAGATCCAATTCTCCTTGTTGGTTTGTGTGTCCTTGCTTAGCATACATGTGCACATGCATTCGCGAGTGACATATGCTATCTACATGGGAAGATTGAGTGCAGCTGGTTGTCTCAACATAGAACGTTTCGACTTCGATGTCGGGCATGTCCTTGTGCTGCACGAATGCCTTCAAGAAGGCAAACCTCAGCAGTATGGACAAGTGGCTATCCTATCACTGTGTAAGATGCTATATAAAGCAACAGAGGCATCCACTTATCGCCCGGATCTTTGGTCGCCTTCCATTTCTCAAGCAGTCCTGGTTTGAGTCCTGCCAAAGCATGCAGGGCTTTACTTTAAAATATGGGATAACTTCAGGGAGTGTTCAGTGTTTGTGCGGCGTCGGTCCATCTGCACTTTCGAACCGCCGTCGCATTGCTTCGTTCAGTCGCTTCCTGGTAGGCAAGTCTAACTCACCAGGCTCCGTCATTGCCAAAATCGCTTCGATCTTCTCCGACGAGAGTTTCTGCACCTTGCTACGAGTGCTTTAATTTAAGCAGAATCCAAAAGGTCACACTGCATAGCTTCACAACACGCACGAACTGCTGCAGCTTCGTAGCAGCTGGCGAAAGGTGCTGCGACGAGGGCGTGTTTGCACCATGCCTGCAGGCGGGGCTCAGAGTGCTTCTAAAGAGGGTTTAAGTTTCGGGTTTGGGGATTAGGGTTCGGGGTTTAGGGTTTAGGGAGTGCTCCTGTAGTTTAGGAATCGGGGATCGTCTAGGCTTATAGGGTGTTAGTGCCTTGGGCTTCACATTGGTATGCTTGTTTCCGGGGTGTAGGTCGACAGCTTGGATCGGAATACGGCTTGTAGGTTTTGGATTCTGTCGGTTTGGCTTTAGGGGGTCCTGTGAAACCCAGCCATTCACTCTTCATGCTGGTGAGGCACTCTGGCATAGTAGTCGGATCATGTGCCATCTTGGCATCGTCGTCGGATCTAGGGCGTTTCAAGATCGGCGAGGGAGTTGACGACTGGCCCTGGGTAGATGCATATTCCTTGACATATGTCCACACCTCTACACACATCCCCTCCCTCAACACTGCTGTGTGCAGCTGCGGTGCTGCCGGTGGAGTTGCTTTGATCTGCCCAAGTAAGGTTTCTTTTGACGGAGTCAGAAGGCTCTACCGGGGTTTTGGTTGCACCCTGGTCACCCTGGCCCTTTCCCGAACCTGCTTTTGGCGTCTCTTGGGGTGGGGGAGATTCCTTCTCGGCATCAGAAGCAACCTTTGCGGCTCCTTTCGACGGGGACGTGGCCTTTCCTTTGCCCTTCGTGGCTGGGGTGGTTTCTCCTGTGGCTTCGTCTTTTCCCGAACCTTTGGCCTGCGACTTGCCCCTTCCTTTGCCCTTGGGTGTGGCTTCTCCTGTGGCTTCGTCTTTTCCTGAACCTTTCGTCTGCGACTTAGCCTTTCCTTTGCCCTTGGGTGTGGCTTCTCCTGTGGCTTCGTCTTTTCCTGAACCTTTCGTCTGCGACTTAGCCTTTCCTTTGCCCTTTGGCGTGGCTTCTCCTGTGGCTTCGTCTTTTCCTGCACCCTTCGTCTGCGACTTAGCCTTTCCTTTGCCCTTTGGTGCGGCTTCTCCTGTGGCTTCGGCTGTTCCTGAACCTTCCGTCTGCGACTTGCCCTTTCCTTGGCCCTTTAGTGTGGCTTCTCCTGTGGCTTCGTCTTTTCTTGAACCTTTCGTCGCCTCTGCCTTTCCTTTGCCCTTGGTTGCGGCTTCTCCTGTTGCTTCGTCTTTTCCCGAACCTTTGGCCTGCGACTTGCCCCTTCCTTTGCCCTTGGGTGTGGCTTCTCCTGTGGCTTCGTCTTTTCCTGAACCTTTCGTCTGCGACTTAGCCTTTCCTTTGCCTTGGGTGTGGCTTCTCCTGTGGCTGCGCCTTTTCCTGAACCTTTCGTCGCCTTTGCCTTTCCTTTGCCCTCTCGTTTGCTTCTCCCTTTCGGACTTCGTCTTTTCCTGACCCTTCGTCCTGCGACTTAGCCTTTCCTTTTGCCCTTGGTGTGCTGGGTGGTTTCTCCTGTGGCTTCGTCCTTTTTCCCGAACCTTTGGCCTGCGACTTGCCCGTGCCTATGGCCCTTGGGTGTGGCTTCTCCTGTGGCTTCGTCTTTTCCTGAACCTTTCGTCTGCGACTTAGCCTTTCCTTTGCCCTTTGGCGTGGCTTCTCCTGTGGCTTCGTCTTTTCCTGCACCCTTCGTCTGCGACTTAGCCTTTCCTTTGCCCTTTGGCGCGGCTTCTCCTGTGGCTTCGGCTGTTCCTGAACCTTCCGTCTGCGACTTGCCCTTTCCTTGGCCCTTTAGTGTGGCTTCTCCTGTGGCTTCGTCTTTTCTTGAACCTTTCGTCGCCTCTGCCTTTCCTTTGCCCTTGGTTGCGGCTTCTCCTGTGGCTTCGTCTTTTCCCGAACCTTTGGCCTGCGACTTGCCCTTTCCTTTGCCCTTCGTGGTGGCTTCTCCTGTGGCTTCGTCTTTTCCTGAACCTTTCGTCTGCGACTTAGCCTTTCCTTTGCCCTTGGGTGTGGCTGGGGTGGTTTCTCCTGTGGCTTCGTCTTTTCCCGAACCTTTGGCCTGCGACTTGCCCTTTCCTTTGCCCTTGGGTGTGGCTTCTCATGTGGCTTCGTCTTTTCCTGAACCTTTCGTCTGCGACTTAGCCTTTCCTTTGCCCTTTGGCGTGGCTTCTCCTGTGGCTTCGTCTTTTCCTGCACCCTTCGTCTGTGGCTTCTCCTGTGGTCTCGGTTGTTCCTGAAGCTTTCGTCTGCGTCTTGCCCTTTCCTTTGCCTTTCCCTTTATCTCCCTTAGCTGCCTTGCCTTTTCCTTTACCCTTCGCCCCTGCTGCCCTATCCTGGCAGAAACCATGAAATTAAGTCACAAAGATCACATATGCATTGCATGTGTGCACGATGACCATGATTACTTGGAAGGGCAGGGGGCTTAGTAAGTAGGTTGTATAACTATAGAGTTATAAGTGTATATATACACTATATAAGTACCCTAAATGGAGTTACCCCAATTAACCCTACTTATAACGTACTTACTAAGTCCCCTGCCCTTCCAAGTAGAAGCAATCGACGAAATCCCAACCTTGAAGTCAGCTTCGGTGTAGAGGCCTCCTTCACCGTGTAAGCATGTCCCGTCCCGCACTTTGCCGACGTGGGTCCAGGCATTATGGCCGTGCTGTTGCCACATATCTGTGAGCTTCGAAGAGTCCCAACTGCTTTCAGCCGGGGCCATGGCCCGCGATCAAGCGGCCTCTACAAACCCAGCCTTTTGATCCCCGAGCTATAGCACCCATAAACCGTGCACGTGCAGGCCATGCGACAGCGGTGGCATCGGTCGAAAGCCTGTGCCTCAGAGTCAATAGTTTTCGATCCAGCAGATACACGGTGATACACGGTCAAAGTGTGGTCTATAGTAACGACTACACGCACATACACGGTGATACACGGTCGCCGGGTTTTCCTTTACGAATTAATATATTTCAACTAGCAGACCAACCGTGTAGCTAGATCCTGTTCATATATTGAATCAGAACGAAGCTTAAGCCATACTTGTATGCACTGGCTCTAATATGCATAAAGATCTTCTCGGGTCAGCATAGATAGCCATCGATCTCGCCAGCCTTGGATCATATCGAGGACGGGCATAGCACGGTCGAAGACTATCACAGACCACACCGTGTGCAACATCATGTGTATGGTGACAAATCCAGAGCGAAACACCCCATAGCTGCAATCTCCAGGAGGCTTGTAGCTCCCAATCAGTTATAATCAGATCTCCATCAGATCTCCATTGATCGATCTCCATCATATACCAGAATCACCACATAGCCTGACAGCGGCAGAGCATGCAACAACTTAAGATGTAAGGGTTAAGGAGTTTATGGGTGTAGGGGAGGAGCTTAGGGTAGGGGGTTAGGGTTGGGAGTTTTCCATGTTTGGGTAATGGTTCATTGGGATCTGCGGGGGTTCTACACGAGCAGGCATTGTTCCAACTTGCCCAGGCTCCAAGCTGACAATCGCCGCACTCAATCCCGAGCCTAAGCCTAAGCTTCGAAGCTACCGGCTTCTCCGCCAATAAGGCAATAATGCATGTAGTTCTCAACATCACAATCTATAGGAGGCACGCTTAAGTCCCGATGCCAAGGTTCCAAGAACACAATCGCCGAACTAAATCCCGACCCTAAGCTTCGAAGCTACCGGGTTCTCCGCCACTAGGGGCATGCATATATAGTTCACAACATCACAATCTACAGGAGGCACACTTACAAAGGTCCCGATGATCGCGACGAAATCTATACATGCGAAAGATTCAAGACTAGTCGTCTTAGCAATTTCTTCACAGATTGCGGTGCCGCACAAGCCAGATAATGCCTCAGCATGCTCGTTTTGGATGCCCCACCAGGCTGAGCTTGATCTCAAATTTAAAGATCAGGTCGTCGCATACATGTGTACAAAGCGTATCGCCCTATGGCTTTTGGGTTGAGTGGGCTGCACATTGGTAGTTATGTATGGGTCATTGGGTCCTCTCCCGGGTCATTTGTATGATTCTGCTGCTGGTTCTGAGGAACTATGCCATCGGTGCGGATGGTGGCTGCGGGCTTTGGCATCGGATTCATATAGGGAAACATACAATAATTATCTAACGTTATAGGGGTTGATACATCGAAGCCCTATAGACCCTAAACCCAAAACCCACTGGGCTTTAAGCCTGAACACGAAAATTGTAATGCAAGCCATCATGGTCCTCGGGACTTCTGATCCTGTGGGAAAGAGAAACTTAAGCTAGCAAACCCCAATCCTGAAAACAGGGAAACTTGAAGCCCGAGCACCAATATCAAAGCCAGGTCCCATCCAGCCCTGTAACCCTAAACCCAAAATCCACTGGGCTTTATAAGCCTGGTAATCTTTGAAGCCAGCAACAATCCATTATGGTCCTCGGGTCTGCAGATCCTATGGGAATGAGAAAATTGCTACTAAACCCCAATCCTGAAAACATTGAAACTTGAGGCCCCAGCACCAGTATCAAACCCAGGTTTCCAAGTCCTGTAACCCAAAACCCATATGGGCTGTGTTCTCTGAAACCCAGCTACGATATTGGCACTGCACCATGGATGGCGCTTCAGTCTGGGGCTGCGAAGTAGGACGAAAAACCCCAAACATTTCAACCCCAAAACCTTCAACCCTAAAACCTTAAACCCCAAACAAATCTTAAACCCTAAAGGTTAGAAGCTGCCCCCACCCTGTAATAGTGACTATATAAGGATTATATATTAGGGCCCTATTATATTCCTATTAGACCACTATTACAGGGTGGGGGCAGCTTCTAACCTAAAGCCTTATAAGCCCTAAACCCTAAAGTCTTATGTAAACCCTGAGCAAGCCGGCCTGTGCCGAGGAACAACGAAATCTCTTGATCGCCAGCCACAACGAGATCTCTCGATCGCCACCGGCTGCAAGCTGCATGGCCTTGTTGAAACCACTGGGAAGAGAAGGGCCGATCGTACAGGTGTTAACCCAAAACAAACTTTAAACCCTAAAGCCTTAAGGCCTACTTAAAGGATCATGGGACTTAGTAAGTAGGTTATAATTGGGGTTATAAGTACCCTAAGTGGGGTTATCCTAATTATAAGCTACTTATAACCTTACTTACTAAGTCCCATGAGCCTTTAAGTAAACCCTAAAGTATTAAACCCTAAGCAAGCCGGCCTGTGCCGAGGAACAAAGCAAGCAAGCCGGCCTGTGCCGAGGAACAGTAGCCAAATTACACGAGTAACAACACAAAGCTTCTTCAAACTGGACTGTGCTTGCATACATTTTTCCGTCCCCCTCGCCATTCTGCTAATTAGTCGATCGTGATCGTGTCCATTCTTTGCGGTCTATGATCGCAAAACACGATGGATCCAAAACAGCTCTTTCTTCCTGCTAATCAAAGCAGCTTCCGCCCTCAGCCTTTCAAGCTCCAGCTCCAAGTAGTACCCCCGGACTTCGATGTAATCGGTAAGGGAGGTTTCCCTTAGAGAACAAAGCCCCCGGCATTCAATATAATTGATCGAGAAGAGCCGCCTCCCTTAAAAACACCGAGCTGAACGATCGAGCCAAGGTTCCCAGTCTGCTCTTCGAAGCCCCTGCACCAAATGGTTACCAGCTGCTTGCTCAAGCGAGCCGGAGCTCCACAGGCACGAAGCTTTCGCAGAAGGATTGTGTCGTCCATAATGGGGAGCTTATAATGAGAGCTTGAGCCAAGTAGCTAGGCGTAGGGTGGTGGCAGTACTGTTGGCAAGTGCAGCCTGCTAGCAATAGCATAGCGGTCAAAGGAGCAGTGCGAGCCTGCGAACCCAGGATCCTTCATAGACCATGGCTGAAACCCTTGCCACAACGAGTGATGCACCCCTGTTTGTGCACCCTGCCCCCTCTAGCCTGTAAGACCCTATAAACCATAAATTTAATGCCCGAGATGCCAGAGTCGCTGCAAGGACCCGTGCCAAGCTTCACGAACATCACTTCCAAGAAAGCTTACACATGCCTGCATGTTACTTTTGAAGGCACTGCAAACCCCTTGCGTGCCATTGCCTCTCAAAGCCTGGGCTGCAGAGATTCTCGAAGCCGTTCGCCAGCAGTTTTAAGTACTGTAGATATATGCAGGTAGGCATACTGCATGGAGCCTGTAACATACATCGATCCCGAACAGCCCAGGGCTTTATCAAAAGCGGGGAACTGGAAAGGCTCTACAGTCGCCGACGTTTCAATTGAGACTCGTCGTAGCCCAAGATCGCGAGTATGTTCGATCTCTCCATGCTTTCCAACCACCTCGTGTCCATGCATCACATATAAGCAGTAGGATTCGGAGAGGCAGTTATTGTTTGTTGCACCTACACTCGATCTTGAGGCTCCCTAAACTCGAAGGCAATTGCAGGGGAATTCTAGGGCCTAGGAGTATACCTCAATCCCTGCAAGTTCGAACAACTTTTGCAAATCCCTCTGTGTCTCTGCGGGCCGGCCTTTGCTGCTTGCCCTTCGCATTGATGATCGTCGATCCTCAGGTGCTGCAGCAATAACTCTTCTATGGACAGATCCCAGAATCTACAGCGTCTGCGAATCCTGTGAAACACATGCTTTCGAACTCTAAACAATGCAGGAAAGCAACTTCTTGAAGAACTCCTTCCTTTTGATGTTGTAGGGCGTATCCTTTCGGGTCTTTTTATCCTTTGCTTCTCCCTTTGCTGCTGCCGCCTTTGACTTTGCTTTTGCTTTGGGTCTTCCTTGGCCGATGCTTTTCGCTGCTCGACTAGGTTTCGCTGAAGCTGAGGATTAATGCAGCATTGCTGGGTGCTGGTGAGTACTGTGGCGATTTGTGGCCATTGTTCGAGAAGTGAACCATCCAAATCGAAGGGTGCCTCATATGAATGCTCAGTGTGATGGAGCACTCTTGGTCAATCATATACATTGCATGCATGTGCAACCACTCCTTTGCCGGTGGGCTGCAGGACCCTCGACGGACCTTTCTTTGGATAGCCTGGCCTGCGTGAGAGAGCCCGGTGACTTATATGATCGTGTTTACTAGCACTGACGATAAAGATCTTGGTATATAGAGACTTTCTCTAGAGCATCTTACTCGACTCCAGGGCCAGAGTCTTGGGCCGCAAACCTGAACATCATATCTAGGACCCTGTATGTCTATCATCTTACAGTTAAACCCTTGGCAGTTCTAAATCCTAGCACGGACACCCCGAAATCCCCGACACCCAGCTCAATAGCTAGTCGCAGACCTTGCCGGTAACCAGTGTTTCGAGCCACTATAGAACTACAATAAAGTAGGTTAAACCAGACCGAAAGAAATACCTAGGATACCTAAGTTACCCCGAGCCACTACGAAGACCGATCTAAGTTAAACCCAACAAGAAAACCTCGAAGCTTCCGTCGGGCTTTCAGAAAAAGTGCAAAATTCCGAGATCCATCTAGCTAGTCGACGACTTTGCCCGGAAGCCATCAATAATCAAGTAATAACCCAAACCACTAGAAACACCTAAACTACCTATCTCACCCCGACCTATAATATCCTCAGTAAACACCACAAGAGAAAGCCCCGAAGTATCCAGCCCTCCCAAAAGATACCAGGTTCCAAGATCTTGCAATTAGCACAAATGGTTCCATAGTTGAATCGGCCGTGCCTCGGCCGGCGGCTTTTCGTCCGCCATCGATTCGCCACTTTCCTTCGTCACCTGCGGGAGGAAATAGGGTTTGCTAGGAAGGGTTTATAAGCAGGGGTAAGGTTTGCTTACTTCAGACTCTGCCTCCTCCTGGGGTGCTTCGATCTCCTGCGGCTCCTGTCGGGTATGGCCGAACACATATTAGGTCAGCATCGGGTTCGGGTTTCAGTGGCAATCTGCAGTGGCTTCGATCAGACCATGTGCGATTCAGTGATCGGAAACCGTGCCTCTTCTGGCTGGGGCTTCGTATCCTGTCGAATGTGCAGGGCTCAATCACAAAATGGGTTAGCATCGGGTCTCGGGTTTGATAGGTGATCTCTAGTAGCAATTAGAAGATGCGAGATTCAGCGGAACCGATCACACATTCAGAAGGCAACACTGCCCCAGGGATAAGGGCCGACTATAGGGCTACAGTATTTGGGCGTTCAGAAACTTAAAGTGGCCTTTAGGAACAACCGGGTTTTAGGGTCAGGTAGGGTCAGCTTCATCATTAGTTTCTTCAATTCGCCGTGTTATCATTATCGATCACTATTAACTGGAGCCTGCAGTGCGACTTATTCTACTCAAGGCACGTGGAGGCTCGAGTTGGCTGGAGTTTAGGAAGGTTCAAGTTTTAGGGTCATATGTGTGCAAATTAATGGTGCTGTGGAAGCATGACAAAACTCCAAGTCGGGCCTCCTTGTCACCGGAGCCAGCTCCAGGGGTATCCCAGACCTGGGCCAGGACTGTTTCCGGTAGTGTTTGTGGCAACCTGGAACCTGCTGCAGAAAAAAGCTGCACACCGTAAACCCCAGAAAAGTAGCAATCGATGACCTCAGCATTTCGTCCGAGGGACACTCGCATTTTCGGCCCACATTCGGTTGGTCCATTGGGGCTCCGGGTTGATCTCGGGCTTGACCTACAAGCGAGAATATCTATACAGTTATAATATGTGCAGTAGCAAACGGCGTGGGGATCGGTAATGGCCAAGCCTCATCTTCGTAGCCTTCTTCGGGCCACCCATCCTCGATAAAGTCCGGATCCTGCCGAAATATGAATCCAGCTTCGAATGGATGGGCTATGTCAGCTCTACTCATGAAATGTTTCTCCAATGATTGCATGGTCCTGATCCCACCACTCCTCATCAGCGGGGTCGTTGTCGAGGCCCGTTCTTTTCAACTCCTGTTGCCGTCACTATATGTATGTTCATGGCAGGATTTAGCATTGTCCTCGGCCCACCATTTCTCATCGTCGATTTCGTCGGCGCTTTGCTTGTCCTTTCCTTCTGTGACCTGTCGGCAATCTTAGGTGTGCATCCAGAAACTCAGATCACTGGCAAAGCAAACAATGGGTCGATCCTCAGCAGAAGCAGTCTGCGTGTCGTCCTGTCGGGTTGCGACTGAATCTGGAATACAGATCTGATAAGAACCTATATATATCGACCTGCCTCTGGCCAGTCATCATTCGGTGCTGTGGGCTCCTACAGCGAAACACGGACTGCATGGGCCAATGAAATTTACTTGCATGGGTCCTTTGCAAAGATCGCATCCTTCTCTTCGGCTTGGGCTTCGTCCTGCCATAAGCACTAATATAACCTGACTCACAAGCAAACACCAACGAAGTCCTCCTCCCATTCATCTTCCTGAACATCTTCTTCTTCTCCAAGGTCCTGTCATAGGCACTGACCCAAAAGTCCAAAGATGCATACAACTGAATTGCAAAGTCCTCGACCCAATCTTCGTCTTGCTCGGCAAATGCGGAATCGGGCTCATCCTGTCGCAAAGCCAAAACACCCGAAAGGAACCCAGTAACACTTGGTCCTCAGCCCATTCTTCGTCCCATGGTCCATCTTGGTCTTCAGGTTCGTCCTGTCGTCTCAAATCATGACAGTTTTCAAGTGCAAGTAACAGGAGCCCAGTCCTCAGGCCATTCTTCATTGTCCTTCCAAGGAACTTCGACCTGCCGTGACCAACTTTCGAATGGGCGAACACGAAATACAAATGGATATTGACCCCTGATGCTATCGGCCTTTGCTTGATCTTCCCATTCCTCATCCCAGGCCTGAAGCACTGCCATATGCTAGATTCACATGGAAAGCTGAAGCCGGTCCTGCTCCACTTGTTCTTCTTGCCAATCGTCGGCATTGTCCTGCACAGATGGAATCGCACACAATAAGCCTCAACCGAATCTTGAATCCTTATCAGCCTGAGCTAACCCTGAATCCTACGATCATTCCAGAACTATATCCCGCCATAATCGCAAATCTTGAACTCCTATAACCCCTGATGCTGAATGCCCAGAGCTCAGCCTCGTCTTCAGCATCTGGGCCATATTCATCGCCCCATCCATCATCGTCCTGCATGAGTGCCACTTTATTCCAACCATTTCGGAATATATTATCCAAGGTTCCTCCACTTCCGAATGTCCCGAGCCGGTGGATAATGTCCTCAGGTATCCACAGCATAAACCTGTAAGCTTAGGGTTTAGGGTTGGGGATTATTGAAATCAGAAGTGGCACGTCTTTGCCCGCAATCTCGTCAAAGGTGGCATAGCAGCCTCAGATTCGATCTTAATCAAGCTTGGCGTGAACGACTATCGAGCCGAATAGAGCCGAGGGTCATCGGCCAAAGGTTGGCAGTCGGCTTTCAGAGCCTGAAAACACCCGGTCTCAAACTGATATTCTTAGGCACTGCACGAGCAATTTAATTGCAGCTGGAAAACAGTCCATACTGAGACGTCATCAAGATCAACCTGAGATTCGAATTTAAGCAAGCTTAAGGCGTGAGCCACTACCGAGCCGAGGGTCGGCCTGCAAAGCATCGAAGTCGCGATCATCATCAGCCTCAAAACACTCGGTCTAAAGCCCATGTTCCGACCACTGTCAATTCAATTGCAGCCGGAAAACGATGCATTCATCATCGTCTTCATCAGCAGCATCCTTGTAGGGGGCGTGGGGCTCGGGGCTCGAATGCTATAACCCTAAAGCTCAAAACACCCCAAAAGCCTTATATAGAATGGTCTTTGGGCCCAAAAGCCTTAATCTATGAGTCCTTATAGAAATTACATAGGGTAATAGATTCCAAAGGATAGACTATATATTGTATGTATGTATATATATATATATATAATAAGTATGTATACATACACAATACATAAGTAGAATTGTTTGTTGGTTCTACCAAGAATCTCTCTCTCTCTCTCTCTCTCTCTCTCTCTCTCTCTCTCTCTCTCTCTCTCTCTCTCTCTGTGATTGTGATTTGTCACTCGTTTACGAGTTCCCGGCGGTCCTGCATCACTTGTGTCTCCTCCTCGTCCATGGCGAGCGACCGGCGAGCTTTTCGGAGCAGGGCTTGCAACAGCTTGCTTTCTTGATCTAGCCACATCTTAAACGACAGGCCGGGGACCTCAGGAATCCTTAAACTGTATTCCTTAAACATCAAACGAAGGGATTCCGAAACTGCCCTGCGGGTGAAGAAACGGTTGTTATGAACATCCTGAACCCATCGAAAAAGCTTTCTACTTTTTGAAGATCTGAAGTGGAAGACCTTCGTAACTCTCCCCGTCCTTTGCAAGTGCTCCTCGTCCAGCTGACTATACAGATTGTCGCAGATAAGCTGTGCTTTCGCTGCAAATGCCGGGGATTTCCGGGGCATATTACAGTCACAGGATCGTAACAGCAGCATTCTTTCTTAGTGTTATGGATGGTACGAGGTTCCCGGGTATCAGCAGTGGCCCTCCAGAGCATCCCCGGCAGTTATGCGGAAAACCTCGAACCCAAAATGCCAAGCAATAATGATCATACGGCAAATCTTGACAATCGATCGATCCTTCAAACTCCTCGAAGGCCTCCCCCCTCGAATCCGAAATTCCTGGTGGAAGCACAGAATGAACCAAAAGACCGTGTGCCACCTGAAATGTCAATGCCCAATCTCAAACATCTGAACTATTAAATCCCATGAATTTGAAACCTTTCCGACTTATGCAGAGCAGAGGTCTTGACTATGGCGGAATTATTGTAAGAAGGAATATAACCGGGAACAAATATTATACAGTGTAAACTCTCTTCTTCTTTTTTCTAGTGACCTTATAACCAGGCCACTTCAATCGCACATCATGTTCGACCGAGACGGAAAACACTTTGTACTGAAATAATGTTTTGCTACTTGCCAATTCAAACTCATACCTAAAACTTTAACTGCAATGGACCATCTAACTTTGTTTCTTGATGACACAGCCTATAGCGACGTTTCTCGTTATGGCGACGTATGTCTGCATGCTGACGTTTGGGACGTCCTGGTGTTCACACATTTTTTGGGGAAAGCACTCCCAGACCTCAGCTTTTCAAGGCACCATGCAGCAACCTCAGCCTTCCTGCTTTCGGTGTTGCTGACAGACAAACTGCAATCAACACCAGGTGTCAGCAGAAAGACAACACCCAAAGACTGAAAAACCTGAGCAAAGGGAGCAGCCTTGTCCCCTTCAAGCGCCAGCCTCCAGCCAAGAATGCGAAACAACATGTGCACAGAAGCCTCAGCATTTACAGCGTCAGATTCCAGCACGATGCAGGTGTAATCATCAAAAAACAATGTTGCAGGTACAAGTGCCAGTCTGCACATCACGCGCCAAAGCGCCAAGGAAACCCTAACAAACCCTGGAACACTACCACCAGCGCCAAAAGGCAGTGCAAACATCTGGAGAACTCTGACAGCTTGATCATCAGGGGACCAAACCGTGACAGCGGCATACGGCAGATCATCCAGATGTATCGGCAGCTGCCGATAGGCACTTTTGAGATCAAAACAACGGCCAAGCAGGCGCATGCCACGGGCCTTAGCGATCCTCAGTAAGCGCAGTCCCAGAGCAACAGTGTGTGACGTCGACATTGTCGTGACCTTTTCGCAGGTGCCCAAAGTGTCGTTCAGGCCATTGAAGCTGAAATCATCCACACCACGAACCTTATCACCCTGAACCACGGCAAACCGGCGACTCAGAAGTAAGTCTGCAGGAGGCTCGGAAGACGCAGGCAACAGCAGTGCCCAGCCACTGGAAGCGTCCTTGACAGTTGTGTCCCACAGGGAGCGATCGAGCTCCAAAGAAGAAGTGGGCTTCGTCTGGTTCCAGGCCTTAGAATTTAGGTCAGAGCGCTGTCGCCACAAGTTGGAGGCGCACTCAGAGGGAGCAGTGATCTTGGGCTCCATGACACCACTAGCGGCAAGCCAGCCTGTGAGCTTGAACCCTGAACAGATATCAGAGATCAAACAGGTGTCCTCGTGCCCAAGACTGGCCAGAAGCTCACCCAAGAGTAACAGTCTCTTGCCATGCAACACCGCCTTAGCATGAGGAGCCAGACCAGAGTGCAGTACAGCTTCTCGCTGTGACAACTCCTGGGACCTCTGAAGGATGCTGTGCAGGAAGCGACACCTCCGGCGCGCGAGCTCAGAGCAGCTCATGCGCGCGACAGACGACAAAGTCTCCTCAAGGTCAGCAGGCAGTACAGCATCACATTCTGATGGGTGACGAAAGGAAGCAGCTGACCGCATGAAGGCCTCAGGCTCACAGGGAACCCCAACCTCTAAAAGCCAAGACTCAGCCTCCTTGACACAGGAAAGAACCTTGCATCCTTTTGGCGCACCCCTGATGTGCGCATCAGAACCAGGCACCAGCAAATGTGCAGCCGTGCTCAACGGCAAACGAAGAGGCACTCGATCACTGAAAGGATTGCTGATCTCACCAGGGTGCCGGCCCCGAGGAAAAAGGCCAAGGGCCCGGCGTGTCTCAAAGAGCCGCGCGGGCCCGGCCCAATTTGCAGCCGTCGGGTGCATGAGCGCAGCTAACTCAGTGGCCCAATGGCGCTGAAGCAGGTGCGCCCAGAAACGACATAACGGCATGGGGTATGCCGCCTCAGCCTTAGTGCTCCAGGTGCCATCAGGAAGCCTGCCCCAGGGCTTGTGCACATGCCCCAAATCAGGGGAGCAGAGGGAGCCCAAGGGAGAGAGGCATTGCAAATTGCCCCACAGCGCAGTCCGCTTGGGCCGCTCACCTCCCCAGCAGCAATGGTCAAAGACAACAGTTTGCAACTCGCTGCCAAGCTGCTTGCAAAGCGCCAGCATCGGAGAGGTGAGCCAAAACATACTAGAAGATGGGTTTTCAATGCTCCATCCGATGCAACGACTCTGGCAAAACAACGCAACATCCCGGCACAGTGCATACAAACGGTTTGCATTATGCACCTGAAACCTTTGTGCAAAGCTCAAACCAGGAAGCCCATCAGGATGCGCAGCATTGCGGAGTGGACGAGGTCCACCTGGGATGAAACGAGCCGCAGAAGCAGTGCTGCAGGGCGGCGCCATATGCACATACAGCAACTGGCCAGAGCTGAGAATGTCCCACAGGACAGCCAGGCCAGCAGCGGAAAGCAAGTCAAGCTTAAGCACCTTGTGGCCTACAGCGTCCTTCACATCAACAGCAACAGTCTCGAAACCAGATGCCTTCAAGCATTTGCTGAGCCGGCAAGACCCAGCGAAGATCTCAACGGCAACACAGGCACGAGCCGTGCCAACATCAGGACGGGCAGAGGCCGAAGGCCCCGGCAGGGAAGTTGAAAGATCCTCTTTACTGGACAAAGAAGGCGCGTCGCCAGAGCCAACCTCAGCAGAAGTAGACTCCCGAGCAGGATAGGAAAAGTGCGCCTCAGCTGGAAAAATTTTTGCAGTAGCCGCAACAGCAACCGACCCGGCAGTAGACACAGCAGCCGCCGGTACAGAGGCAGTGAACTCAGCAAACTGAGGTGTGGGCACAGGCACCACCGAAAAAGCATCAGGAGACTGGTCCTCAGGGAGACAATCCACAGAGGAGGCAGCCACCTCGGCAGCACAGGAAGCCACAGCCTCAGGAGCAGAGGATCAGTTGCTGCAGGCATGAGCGCCATGATCAGGGCTCCCACACTTCATACACAGGTGAAGCCTTTTCTCACACTGCAACCCGGCTGGGGTTTGCCAGGTCTCGCGCTTGCAACCATGGGCCAGGTTGCGATCAAAGCACAGAGGCGTGCCATCCTTGTTGGGGTCCAAACCCTTCAAAGCAGCAGGCACAGCAGTCTGCTTGGAAGGTGACCCAGTCTTGCCCCCGGTGGGGGTTTTACCTCCTTTGCCTTTGCCTCCTTTGTCCTTGCCCTTGCCGGGACGATTGTCCTTGCCACCGTCACCCTTGCCTGTCTTGCCGGGCGGCAACTTGGTATCATCAAGTGCCCGCTTCCTCTCACGAGGCATGACATGAAAGGCAACAGCAGGGGCCCCAGCGGCAGCAAGCAGGGCAGCATCGACCTTAGCAGTGACGTCCACAGATGGCAAGCAAGGTACCTGGGCTGCAACGTGCTGCCAGACGGCACGATCAGCAGCCAGCACAGAATCAATGCCAGGAGCAGAGTACCCAGCAGGGGGCACGCGCTGCAGGTGGTCTAACAGACCACGAACATAGTTCTCGTGCACAGCAAAGGAGCAGACACCAGCAACCTCAAGTGCGACACCTCGCCTGCTCAGTGCCTGATACAACCGCAGTTCATTGCCAAGGTCAACCTTGGGAAGAACAGGCTTCTTAGCAGCTTTCAACGCAGTGGCCTCAAGGCGAAACAACGTGTCGTCACGCCGTTCTGAAAGAATTTCCTGCTCACGGGAACTGCACTTGCTAGGCGGCAAGTACCGCACAGAGCTATCAGCAACCATCCCGAAAGCGGCATCAATCAAAACATGACTCGGCTCGAAAGAGCCAGTGATAGGCCACGCTCCCAGTTTGGCACGCAATGCATCCATGCGACTGGCGCGTTCATGAGAAGTCAGTTTCTTGGAGCCATCGTCCTCGCCTGCCACTGAACTCCTAAGCTCGGCGACGACGAAGGTCCCGGCTTCAAAGAGGAGCCGAGAAAAAGCCGCAACGGCTCCTTCAGAGGCGCCAGCTCCCAGATGCTTATCCTTGGCCGCCTTAAGCCTGGTTTCGTCCACAGCCCCGGGCGCACTCGCCACGGCAAAAAGCAGAGCAGAGTATGTCGTGATGCCAGCGGCAGACAAACTGTCTAACACTTCCTGGCTCAAACCGTATTGCCTAGCTTTGCTGGCGAACGTGACCGCACTGTCCGCCACACTCGCCATCAGAACCCCAGGCAAAGAGCCCTCAGCAGAGGCAGACTCAGAAGGGGCAGCACCAGCTCCAGAAGCCTGCCAGGACGCAAGTCAGGCAAGACCGGCAAAGCAACACCGGCCTCGGGCCACAATGCCCAAAGTTCCAGAGAAGCCTGCACAAGCAGACGACCAGGAAAGCAGACAGGAAAAGGGCTCAAGCCCCACCCGCCTGGTACAAGAGCGAGACCTCAAGAGCTCAAAGTACGAGGAACAAAACGTCACGTGACTGAGGCAGCTGCCAAGAGCAGGTGCGAGCTTCAGTCCAGCCGCCTGCAAGGGCCGAAAATAAACAACGCACACAAGTGCATGCCCCACCTCCAGGTCAGGGCACTCCACAAAGGAGCAGGAAGGCCCACAAAGGCCTCAGTGCCCACACAAGAGGGTCGAGAAAAAGGCACAAGCCGCCGGGGCCCAAGCCCAAAGAAAAGCAACCTGCACAAAAGTATGCAAGTGTCTGAAAAATGCAAAGGTGGGGTGCAGGAAGCCCGGCCTCAAGGCCCAGGGCAGCAAAACCCCACCCCCCAGAGCACAGGATCAGAGCCAGCCAGCTGAAGAGGCACAGTCAGAGGGCCAGCGCCCAGGCACAAGCCGTACACACTCGGACTCTAAGTGCACCAGCACTTTCAGCACACAGGCAGCGATCAGAACACTCAGAGGTCGCGACATCTGTCGCAAAAGTGTCGTCTATGCGGACGACGCGCTGAGTCCGATACGGGGCGACTGCAGGCATGGCCGCAGTCGCCCCAACAGGCTGTACTGCAAAATCCTGTTAAGCTGTGACCGTGTCTCTGCAGATCCGCAGGAAGGTCACGGAGAGGGCAGACAGCGCAGGGGATCCAAAGGTAACCCCGCGCGAATGTCAGATGCAAGGACATAATGGCAGTTCGCCGTCCCTGTCATCCTAAGACGTGCGACCACCGGAGCATTTGCCCCAACAGCCGCGGGCCCCGTGGGCAGAGTGAGACCCTGATACCCAGCCCAAGGATCAGTAGCAGAAGCAGCAGAACTCACAGGAAGAGCCGGGGGCGGAGCCACCGTCGGAGTGGCAAAGGCCGGAGCACCAGCAACCAGGCCTGGTGGATCACTGGGAGGAGCCAATGGTGGGTCATCAACGGAAGTAACCTCAGGCACCGGAAGCTCAGTCACAACAGGCGCCACAGTATCATCCAGACCGTCCATGGCATTCAGGTCGACAACAGAAGTTGCCGGCCACTCCCACGGTGCCAAATCCTCGTCCTCACTCGGAGGCGAGGAAGGCACGACCTGAGCACAAGCAGCCGGAGGCACACCAGCAGCGTCAGGAACTGCACCAATGTCCTCGGCAGAGGCAGGTATAAGCTCAGGGGAGGAGACCGCCCCGGAGTCTCCAGGCCGCTCCAAAGAGCCACCCTCGTGAACCTCATTGCCAGCCTGTATGTCCTCCGTGCCCACCAGAGAGTCACCGCCAGCCACCGCCTCAGAGGGAGCACCAGCACTGTCAGGAACAGCAGAGACAGGCTGAGCAGGCTGGGCAGAGGTAACCGGCGAAACGAGGTTCACATCCAGCAAGTCAGGCACCAGTCCCAGCAGGTCAGAGTTGACATCCTGAGATGGAACAGACAAAGAGCCAGCAGCGGGACGAGCAGGCAAATCGTACTCACTGGAACCCTCCGTCTCGTGCTCCAAGTGCGCCATCTGCACCTGGTCCCGGCAGAAGTAGTACAGCCGGAGTGCCTCAGCAGAGGGAATGGCAGCCAGTGCAGCCGACAGGTGAGCATCCTCGGCACGAGCAGCAGCACGAAGACGCCGCACCAAGGTCCGCAGAGGGTCGACCGACATGACCAGCAACAGACCCAACAGCGAACAGGCAGCACCAGAACAACAACAGAAAACAGCACTTAAGCCAAAATGGCCGCGCGGTACATTAAAGTCACATGTCAAGACATAGTAAACCTACTTGGCAAGGGTCCGTTCGGTCCTGCAGAGTGATGAGAAAGGTCTCAACATGAAGGTCTATGTGAAGCTGAATACCAAGGAATGGCTTCGGATGTACTCGCGCCTTTACCATGCTTTGGCATTGGTGTCTTGTGTGCATCTCCCGTCTCCTCCAATGTTGACATCAGCCGTGATGATCGAGCAAGGAAGTGATCTTGTGGACAGCGAGAACATCAGCGAAGAGTCCAAGATTACGACCATGAATGCATTGAATGGGTTTCGCAACAACTTGGGCATTGGCGGCAAACCGGATGCGGTAACCATGCGCTCTCAGCCCACGATCCTCATTCAGGATTTCGACATCTTGGCGAGAACGAAGGGAACAACCCACACGCTTCGTGAGAGCCTCAGCGCACACGGATGGGGGGAGATCAATATCGTATCTCCGTCATTGACTGCGGGTGCCACCTACAACTTCCGGAACACCAAGTTTGGCCTGGAGTCTGTGGAAGGTACTTTGAATGGGCTAACGGAGGAGCAAGTCGCAACCGTCACTTTGCACTACCACCTCTCGCTCCAGGCCGTCCTCATTGAGAACGTCTCGTTTCCATTCAGCGACGTTGGGGATGGAGCAGCGATTCGCGACCGGTTGCAACAGCAACTCAAGGAGGTGTACGTCGACCCCATCATTGCTGCTGGTAAGCGTACTACACGGCCTCCGGTTGTCAACATCAACCATGATTTGCGATTCGTGGGGACTGGTAGCAATTACTTGAACAACAAAGCCTCAAAGTACGACGGCTTCCATGCATTGGGACTGTACATTGAATTGGAGCTGCGGTGTGGTGGTTCATGGATCGTCGTTTTGGTCGAGGATTTACAGCCAGTTGAAACAGTCGGCTAGCGGCGTGAACATGCTGTCCAGCGAGAAGACACCGGCTCCCGAACCTCGTACCAGGTACAGATTGGCTTACGCTATCTATGAGAAACAGCTGTTCAGCGAGAAGATGGTGTCAGCATGCTTCGTGGAAAGCTCAAAGATTCGCCAGTGGGATGCATCCGTTCAGGTCAGTACGATCGCTCATTCTGCACTTGTTGAAATCTGGGAGGATAAGAGTGAGGTCAAGACTTCCACCAACATCGCCCAGACGTGGTTCACGGGTGAGCAGAAGCAGCAAATCTGGTCTGAAGCCCAAGGAGACTCTGTTGCTGAGTCAACTGCGGTCACCTGGCAGGATTTCGACATCGCCATGACGATTCCCGAGGCCTACTACGACAACAGACACTATTGGTTCAGGATCGACACCTATGCAACCCCGAATTCTGGCTATGTCAAAGGAAGGACGTTCTACTGCCCAGGATGCACTGCGATGAGAGCAGCCGAGTGCTACGCACAGGCTCGCTTCTTGCCGATTGGCAATGGGTATCCAGGACACTGCATTGGATGCACGCATACTGCGGCATTGAAATTGCAGCATGGTGTTTCCGATTTCAACGAATTAGTCCAGTCTCAGAAGTACACGCTGGCTTGCGCTAAGCACCTGTACGACCTCAGCCTGCAATTCGTGGACCCTCGTGTGGACATCAAGGAGTTCATCAAGAAATGTGCTGTATTGACCTACGAGGACGTTGGCAAAACGGTTTCTCACTATGGTGGCCTCCGTATAACTGCCAGCCAGGCCATAGAATACGCGGCATGGGGAAAGGCCAAACAGTTGGCGTGGGACAGAGGATACGATTCTGAAGGCCGAACATGCTACATCTGCTACTATGATGCTGGTAACTGCGCATACGCTGGTTTCATGAGGATGCTTTTGACGCCAGACGAACGCCGGGAATGCTACCGAGGATCAGTTGCACCGAAAGAGGAGTTGCTGGGAGACACCTTGGAGCTGGCACTCGGAATTCTTACAATTGCGATGAGGTATCCAGATCATTTTCAGAATTGGGGTGGACTCGAAGGGGCGAACGCATGCGTGAGGGGCATCGAACGATCGTTCTTCCGCTATGCATCGGCAGAGGCCATTGAGCTGATCACTGTCGACTCCCCACGCAAGAGAGCACCGCCCAAGAAGAATGAGGAAATTGCTGAGATCGTGAACGGCATGTCTGCTCACCTCGCGATTGACTTCACAGTCATCGTCGACGGCGACGTCTACCCAATAGATGTTGGACGAGGGGACGAACTGCAGGCCGCTGACAACGTCACGGACGAAGCAGGAGTTTCAATTGCTCCACCTATGCCACCTCAGGAGGCTGACGTGGATGAACAACCAGAAGAAGAGCAAGTTGATGAGGAACCAAGTCAACGTCAGATGCTTCGGGAAGGACTTGTGGCACAACTTCGCGACGCTGTGAGTGTGATCTCCGAAGGCGAATCGCAAGTGGGGATCCACAACTTTACGTTTTGCGTTGCTTGCGGCAGCGATGCCCACCACTTGTCCGAGTGCGCAGAGAATGCTGCGAACCGAGATCTGATACAGCGTGGTCTTCAAATCATTAGAGACAGTCTTCTTCGATATCCTCGTCGACCACCTGCACAACAAGCTGACGCTATGGAAGTCGACGCGACCGATCATGTGAGTGTAGCATCCTCAGATCGACGACCTAAGGCAAAAGCCCGACCACGACGTGGAGGCGATGCCGTACGGAATGACGTCGTCCTGATTCGCTACGAGAACCTTCACAACCTATGCACGGAGGTCGGAAATCGGCGTGGTCTACATGACGCTTGTGGTATTCCTCTGCAAGAGGTTGGACCAGAGAACAGTCAGCGGGTGGTAAACCTCATTGAAGAGTTATCAGATCACCGTGACCGCCGACTACCTCAACGAGGAGATCGTGCGAGTTTCGAGTTCAACGAAGCCACTGGTGAATGGGCAAATGAAGGCTACGAATCCATCGGAGGCGGAAGGCCAATAAGATGCGGCATTCTTGATCTGATCCCGACACGGGGAGCACGATTCATCAACCATCGATGGGGCATTGTGGACACGGTCATAGTTCGCAACCTGAACGGTCACCGAAGAGGACTAGCGGATTGGGCGCTCTCATGCATTCAATCTGACCTGCGCCACAGAATCGCGAGACGTCCAGGGTCTGAATGGCTTGATGGACAATGCCGAGTGGCTTTCAACAGCGTAATTCGGTGTGATGAAGGAGGATGGGTGCTGATCGAGGACCTGATCCGACACGAAGAGCTTTGGACCCATGAAAGCAGGGGCATCACCGAAAGTGCAAACCATCGTGATCATGAACATCGACGGAGAGTGTACAATGAGAGACTGCAGCTACTGTTCCAGGGAAACATGTTGGCGGCTACGAAAAGGCACAAGGCCAAGATCCGGCTTCAGTTCCTGGGCGTGAGAGTGAAGGATCCTGGTGGTGGACCTCTTGGATCTGCATTTACGAACAGACTGGTTTCTGTACGTGATCAGATTACCGAGATCCAGAACAGCAACAGTTGCCGACCCAATCAGCAGTACTTGAGCCAATGCAATAGCTGGGTCAAGCCGTGGGCGGTACGCGCTACCAGTGGTCACTCTACGCACTTGAATCCCCAGAACAACTTGCTACAGTTGGACAAGGACAGATTCGCAATATCTCCATCTATGACCCTTCTGGGACGCCTAGGAGGAGCATTTCACGCGACGGCATGCCGCAACCTGGATTCCATTGTGCTTCAAGGCATCATACCTGGTTCGGAGGACCCCGACGGGGACTTCGACCAGCGCCGCCGAGGACGGAATGACAGGGGAGGTCGGCTCCACAGTTACTGGGGGGTATTCGCGCCGTTCGACCCGAGGAATGCAACAACAAAGACACGGGTGCATGGTCCGGAGGCCAAGCACATGCCATTGGCAGTTTTGCATGTTGCTTCCAATGATCTTGCCCGAGAAGGTGGACGTATCACTGACAGTGGTGTCATCATGGTCGGCCGCCCGATCTCGTTTGCATTTGTCAAGGAGGTTTGGTTCTGCGTCCCTTCCGATCGAGAAGATCTACGATGAAAGATTGGAAAGAGAAATGGTGTTGGACTATCAGGGGTCACCGTTGCTTCCGGAGTTCAAAAGGTACAGAACGCCATCAAAGCTCATGGAATTGCTATGTGAAATGCCTCACGGGCCTCACGATGCAAACAAGGAGCGGATATTGGGCGATCTCACGACAGTACTCGAGGCTCAAAGGGAAAATACGGTTCGCTTCCATTACATGGACAAGGCCATAAAGTTCATCATCAAGAACTGGCGACCCGAAGATCTGCGGAGACAAGATGATGGCAGGAGAATGAGGGTATGCCCCGCATGCTACAACATCGTGCCGGCGTGCTTCTCCCGCTGTACATCGTGCTGGTCAATATTCATTTCCTGTGGGTACTATCAAGGAACCTCACAGAGGGAGACTCCTACGGAGATCCCTAGTGAATTCATTGCTCAGACAATGGAGGCTGCAGCAGCAGCGGTGCCCGAGATGACCACGGAAGAACAAGAAGCCATCGAACGGGAGACAATTCCAGAACCCGAAGGTGTTCCCGATGTTTCCGTTATCGGCGAGGACGAAGCAGAGCAAGAACCGGGTGAGGAGATGGACAATGAGCCTACGGTGGATTTCGACGACGCTGTGCCGGAAGCCGTTGCACAAGAACGTCGACCAGTCCTTGTGGCCGGACATTCTCTGAACATCGATCCTGAACTGCAGATTGCTCGTACGGCAATGCAGACGCCCTACTACCACGGAAGACCGAATGCACGTTGCATTGATGCAAACATGGCTGCTCTCTCCTACATGGCGTATGTGGTCTGCAGGGTCATCCACAAGACGTGGTCAGGTTACTCGAAGTGGACGACAATGCCGTTGTTCCAACTGAAAGAGAATCTGTCACAAGGGCAACGCTATGATGTGCT